GGGAAGAAGGAAAGACAGTGACTCCTGAAATGGATTCAGACAATTAAAATCCCGCCATATGGGCACCAACCTCAGGAAAGATTTCAATGGAATAAACAACCTTGGGCTAAGAAACCTTGACACTGGCTCTGAAACCAAGGACCCTGGAACATTCAGACAGGAAAAGTTCTGTACACGGCATCCCTTCTTTTGGCAGAGACCTCTGAAAATGAAATCAAATGCTGCACAGTCAAGCAACTTTTAAGCAATTTCAAAGAAGTACAGTCATAAGTCATCTTTAGTCAAACAATGTGAGATTTTTAATGAGTGCAATGGGAAGCATTCTAGAAGGAAAGAATACTTCTAACTCCCATTGTTCTGCAAACACTCTATCTCAGGCAGTGATTTTTTCCCCCTTGAAGTTTCTGAGTGGGAGTCCGATTAGCAGAACATGAGAAAAGGCAAACTATATTCTTTTATTCCAAAAAAGGAATAAATCCTTACCTAATCCTGGTTGATGCTATGCAAATGTATTTGTTGGTGTGATTTAGCAAAATTTGTGGTTGCTTAGCCTCCCACCAGTAAATGGAAAATATTCAAGTGAGGAGGGTCTGCTCACTCAAATGGAGCAGGGACAGAATTTGGGAGGATGTCTCAAGGGGCCCCAGCCCTCTTCTTGGCTCTGAGACTGATCTGCAGAGTGCACTCTGCAAACCATTTAACCTCTTTTCTGTTTCACAATGAGCATCTGCAAAATGGGAATGGGAGTGATAGTGTTGCTGAGAAGGTACATAAACTTCTCCAAAAGTGCTGTGTAGTCCACCAGTTTTGTTACACTGACACACAATTATAATAACAAAGCCATCACAATCCACAGTCATGACTGTGACCCAACCTGATTGGACTATTCAGTTAGTGTTTATTAAGACTTGTTCCACTCTTAAAAGTTATGGAAATCTGTGCTAGGATCACAAACACCTCTGTTCCTAGTGAACAATAAGACAGAAAAATGGTATGGGACTTTTTTTTTTTTTTTTTTTTG